AAAAATTTTTCCCCAAAATTTTTTTTTTTTAAAATTTTTTAGGAGGGAAGGTTTTTAAAAAAAATAAAAAAAGGGTTTTTTTTAAAAAAAAACTGGGCCCCCCCGGGGTTTTTTAAAAAAAAAAAATAAAAAAACATAAAAAGGGGGGAAAATTTTTTCCAAATTTTAAATTTTTTTTTTTTTTTTTTTTTTTTTTTTTTTTTTTTTTTTTTTTTTTTTTTTTTTGGTGAAAAAAAATATACTTTATTTAACTATAATTTTTTTTTTTTTTTTCATATATATATATATATATATAAAAATTTTTTTTTTTCCTTTTTTTATTTTAGAAATTAAATATAAATTATAGTATATTTTAATTTTTTATAAATCTTACTTTATATTAACTACTTTAACTACTTAAGCAATATTAATAAATATAAATATATATATATATATATATATATATATATATATATATATATATATATATATATAAAAAAAATATATATATATATTTATTTATATTTATAAATTTTGTCTGTTATTAAATTGAAAAAAGAATTTATCTGATAATATTAAACACATAAATTTATAAATATATATATATATATATATATATTTTTATATAAAGAAAAAAATGTCTCTTACATTTCTTATTGAATAGTATTAATTATAAAATTTATTTTTAGATTACAAAAATGAATTTTCAATTTAATTTAAAAAAGTCCGCGAAATCCAAATCCCATCATTAGAAATTAATTATAAATCATTCATAATAAAGAATATTAAAACTAACAATTTACATTTATGTATAGAAGATTAATTTTAAAATGAAAAAACTAGTTAAAAGCTCTAAATAATAAATGATTTAATCTATATTTTGACAAATAACGAAAATTTTGTTCAATTAAATAATTTTTCATATTAATTTGTTAATGAAAATATCGAAATCAAGTTTTATTTAATATTCGAATATATATAATGTACTTTAAAATAATTAAATAAAAAGACTTTTTTAATAAATTAATAATTAATAAATAGTCTTTTTTCTGTCTTTCTAAAAAGCTTGATTTATCTGTAAGAAATAAAGATGTTTTTTTTAAGTTTTAATATGTAAATGTTCCAAATTTAACAAAATCATATAATAAAAATACTTTTTTTACCTTTCTTTTAATAAGAATAATTAAAAGAGCTTTCATAAAATCGAAAAAAGAAAACTTCTTTGTATTTATCTTTAGAATAATTGGAAATAATTTAAAAAAAAAGGGAAATATATGACCCTATTTTATCAAATATATTTAGTTTTGGAGTTCTTTTGTTAGATTTTTTAAATTTTTCTAATCTAAATAATAATTAATTGTCTATATATTCTAATAAATATGAAATTTCGCAAAAAAAATTCATATAAAAAATAGATTTTGTAATCAATAAATATAATAAAAATGTTGTCTTAATGTTATACTAATTACTTAAATTTTAAAATAGACTATTTCCAAAAGAAATCTTACAGTTTTTTTAAAATCTAAACGGAAAAGATAATAATTAAAAGGCTAAATAAATAATATTACTATAATTTTTTGAAGGTTTTCCATTAAAAAATGATTAATAGGAGTATTTTAATATAAATAGTTAATAATAATAATAAGATTTCCATATAAAAAATAGTAATATGGAATAAATGGCATTAAAAACATAATAGGACTACCAAAACTTGATATTTTAATAATAATAATAATAAGATTAATCTCAAAAAATTCACATAAAAAAAAGCTAATAATAAATTTAAGATTTTCCTAATAATTCCCATTAAAAAAATAACAACAATTAAGAACATTAAATCCAAAATAATTAATAAGATACTTAAAAAACTTTTCTTTTAAATAAAAACAATCAAAAAGCTCCTTTTTAGGAAAAAAACAACATTTAAATAAATGAATTTACATAAAAATAACTATTATTACATTAAAGTATATAAAAGGAAGACTAATAATAGATATAATTAAATAATACACAAATATAGGAAATTATTCCATAATATATATAAGAAAAACCAGAAACATATTAATAAGACAAACTTTTATTTGTTTCTTTTAATCCGAATATACTAGAATCTTTTTCAATATAAAAAAAGAATCAAACAGTTTAAAATGAACCAGAAAACAGTACTTATAATGAAAATATAAATACTTAATAAGATTAAATAAAAATAAACTAAACAAAGGAGGATGTTTCTAATTCTCTAAATCTTCTAATAAAATTAAATTAATCAAATCCAGTTAATGACTTATTAAATAAATAGGAAAACATAGTCACGTATTTCAGTAATAGTATCTAATTATTAAATAGTAGTTAACATTTTTATAAGAAAGAAGAATAAAACTTAAATACATAAGAAAAAAATAATACTATCCATAAAAACTCTCCTATTATAAAGAAAAGTCTTTATAATGATCAAGAATATATAAAAATTCAAAAGCCATAGAGTAGTAATTAAAAAACAACCAAAAACAATTAAATTTAATTAAAAATTTCTTAAAATAATCATCTTAATGAAATCCTAAATTAAGAATTCGACTAAATAGAATTCCAGTCTTAATTATAAAAAACCCAATTTTAAGAGGAAATTTTAGATGAAAAAACTCTAAAAATACTTCAAAAATATCAAAATAAATAACACATTTTAAAAGACTTATAATCAAAACTAAATACACTAGAACATACCATATAAAAAGTTCAATATACAAACCAGTCTTTTTACCACGGATAAACACTTAAAACTTAACAAAAAGTCTATAGGTAATAATATTCTTTTTTTTTTTTTTTTTTTTATAATTAAAATTACTACAAAAAGACATGGATATGGTATTTATTATATGAATAATGGAGATGTTTTTGGTGGCAAATTCGATTACGGGCAATATGATGGCAAAGGAATATATTTATATAACAATGGTGATATATATGAAGGAGATTTAAAATAAAACCTAAAACATGGAAAAGGGACATACTATTATCACAAATATAATTGTCTATATATAGGAGAATGGAAAGACAATGTAAAAGAAGGTTTTGGTCAATTAATATTAAATAATAATGTAAAAAAAAAAAAAAAAAAAAAAACCAAAACAAAAGCTATTTAAAAATAAAAATATAAAAAAAGGAAAAATATGAAGGATATTTTAAATAAAATATCAAATGTGGAAAAGGTATATATTATTTCAAAAATGGGGATAAATTTAAAGGAGAATGGATTTACGATAAAAAATGCGGTTTTGGTACTCTGATTTTTAAAAATGGATCTGTTTTTTCAGGAAATTTTTACGATGATAATCCCTATGGATAGGGGTAAATGAAATTTCTTAATGGCGATACTTACAAGGGAAATTATGAGGATGGATTTATGGAAGGATATGGAATTTATATACATTAAGATTAGTAATGTTATATAGGAGATTTTAGAAATAATTAAGAAGATGGGGAAGGGATGTTTTATTTTAAAAACGGAGACTTTTACTAAGGACATTTCTTAAATGGAAAAAGAGATGGGTTTGGAAGATATAAGTATAATGGATCTAATGTGGTATATGAAGGGCAATGGAAAAATAATATAAAAGAAGGACAAGGAAGCTTGTTTTATAGGAATAATTGTGTGTATTAAGGAACCTTTTTGAATTCTATGAAACATGGCAAAGGTAAATATACTTATTCGAATTAAGAATATTATGTGGGAGATTGGGAGTTTGGAAAAAGAAGTGGATTTGGATTCTATTTTTTTTAAGATGGAAGTTATTATGAAGGGGAATGGAAAAATGATTAGATTTTTGGAAGAGGAAGCTTTTTTAAAAAAAAAGGAAATTAATTCCAAGTATATAAAGGATTATGGGATAATAGCAATTTTGTAAAGGAAGAAGTAGAAGAATTATGAAAACAAAATATATATAAATATGAATAATAATATAAATAAATATAAATATATATATATATATATATATATATATATATATTTATTTATATATCTTATTTTCTTTTAATTTTCAATAATTTTAGTATTATATAAAAAACTATTATTTCTCTACTTAAAAAATATAAAACTATTATTTATCTCATAAATTAGTATTAAATATATAGAAAATTAATTATTTATTTTTTTATAAAAGAAAATGAAAATTTAAGATACAATAAATCGCATAAATAAAGAATATATAAGAATATCTAGAAATTAAATAGAAAATATACTCGCAGTTCCAAATCCAAAAAATATATTTTAATGGCATTTTTGTATCCACGGTTTAAAAAACTGTGCATTCGTAGGTGGTTATTATCATGGAATATTAAATTTACCACCTGAATATCCATTAAAGCCTCCTACAATAAAACTTATAACTCCAAACGGAAGATTTGCAGAAGGTTAGAATATTTGTACTAATTTTACCAGTTTTCATACTGAATAATGGGAATCTTCATGGAATATAGAAAAAATGTTGATTGCCATTGTTAGCTTTATGAATGATAATGAAATGAGTACAGGTGTTGTTGTAACTAGTGAATATGAAAAGAATAGACTGGCTAAATAAAGTCTGATTTGGAATTTAAAAAATAATATAGATTTTAAGAAATATTTTAAGAGTTTTTATAAAATATTAAATGTTCCTTCTAATGTTTTTACATTTGACGAATAACAATTAAATTAATATGAAAAACAAGTTTTAGGAATACAATATGTAAATTTTTTTTTTTTTGTTTTTTTTTTTATTATTTTTTTTTATTTTTTTAGAACAAAGAATATTCTAATAATAATATTGAAAAAATACTGTTTTTATTAGCATCTTTATTTGTTATTATTTCAGCTTATATATATATTAAAACATTATGAATTAAATGTTATTTAGTTTTATATAAAAGAAATTATTACTATAAAATAACAATAAAATGTATATTTATTTACAAAAAAAAAAAATATAAATTATATTTATTATAATAATTTTATTTTTTTTCATATAACATTCTATAATTAACCAATTTTTAGTTTTATATATATATTTTTTGACATAAAAAAAATTATAATAAATTCTTATTTTTATTACTAGATAAAAAAAAAATACAAAAATATTGAAAATTTACTTTTAAATTAAAAAAAATCCTAAATTAAATATAATTTAAATTACTTATAATAAAAAAGTAAATTATAAATAAAAAAAAAATATGCAATATAATAAATAAAATACAAAAGATCAACAAAACAGTCTTATAATTTTACAAAAAAAAGGATAAATAATAGCATAAATAAAACTAAGAAAAGTTCGTATATGTAAAAGCTTAATAAGCAAATACTATAAATAGTTAAGAATATTAAAATGAATAAAATTTTCCATAAAAAAATACTGAAATATAAGAAGATATATAATAATCAGAAACATAAAATGAATAATAAACAGAATAATATAATAAACAAAGGAATTATTAATATAAAAAAAGCATAAATTATGATAAAAATAATAAAAATAATTACTACTAAGACAATAGATATTAACAAAAAAATCAATATAATGATAATAATATAAATAGGAAAAATTAATAAAATAACAATTAAAAAAACAGCTATTATTAAGTTAAAAACAGCAACTAATATAATTATAGCAATAACAATAAAAATTATAATAATGATAATAATAAATAACAATATAACAAAAACAATATTAATAATAAACATAATAACAACAATAATAATTATAACTAATCAGAATCTAACCAAGATGAAACCAAATAGTATAATATAAACTACCAAAAAGAATGGAAAGATTAAGAACGTATATATGATCAATAAGAATCCGAATAACAAGAAGAAAACGATTAACTATAAACACTAGAAGAAGAATTATCAAAAGTTAATAAAAACTCACTAAGAGATACATTAATAAAACGCTTAAAAAGAAAAAGAATAGACTGTCCAATATGTTATGAAACAATTAGCTTAAGGGCACCAATATGGAGTTGTTAGCAATGTTTTCACCCATTCCATTTAGAATGTTTAAAAAAATAGGATTTTTAATTCAAATAAAGATAAAAAAGAAACTCTTCTTTATTTAATTGGAGCTGTCCGAATTGTTAATATATTTATAACGAAAAAATACCTTAATATTACTGCTTTTGTGCTAAATATGTAAATCCTGAATTCGATACTTATATAGTAAAAATATATTTATCAATTTATATATAAATACATATTATATTTATAGATACCTCATAGTTGCGGAGATTTGTGCTAAAAGAAAAGAGGAGTTAATTGTTCTCATTTATGTAATATTAGTTGTCATCCAGGACCTTGCCCTCCTTGTAATTATAAGGGAGATATAATTTAATGTTATTGTGAAAAAAATAATAAATAAATTAATTGTTCAGATAGCATTATCTCATATGAATGTGGAAATCAATGTTTAAAACTATTAAATTGTTAAAAACATTAATGTTAAAGAAATTGTGTAAAAAAAAGAATATATAAATTTATAAATATATATTTTTATATTATAGTATCAGGGTACATGCAGTAAATGTGAAGTATCATAATAATCTACTTGTTATTGTGGTAAAAAAAACCAAGAAACCCTATGTGGTGAAGAAAACTTTTCTTGTAATGACGTTTGTGGTAAATCACTAGACTGTGGTAATCATAAATGCTAATAGAAATGTCATAAAGGATTATGTACTCCTTGCTAATTACTTCCAGAGGATGTTGATACATGCCCATGTGGCTAATCATCTCTCCTAATACTCGCTGGAGGTAATTTTCGTGAAAAATGCACAGATCCAATCCCTACTTGTACTAGTATATGTAATAAACCACTCTCATGTAATATTCATAAATGCTAAAACAAATGCCACGAAGGCGAATGTGTTAAATGTGAAGAATACATAGAAGAAATATGCCGATGTAAACAATCTAAACGAGAAATCGAATGCTTTAAGCTAACCTTAAATAAGACTTTAGGAAAATAATACATATGTGATCGCATTTGTAAAAAAACTAAATCATGTAATGTCCATAAATGTAATACTCCATGTTGTCCTGTGAACAAATCTAATAATGACCTCCAAGGTATCCATTTATGTTTAAAAGTATGTGAAAAAAAGCTCTCTTGTGGTAAGCATACATGTGAATTATTCTGTCACTTAGGCCTTTGTGGAAAATGCCCAATTAAAATAAACGAACCAATCTCCTGTATATGTGGAAAAGCGACCCTCAAACCCCCCTAACCATGCGGAACTGAACCTCCCGAATGCCATTTTCCCTGTTCTCGTGAAAAGCCCTGTGGTCATCCCTGCCATTTGAACTGCCATATAGACCAATGTCCTCCGTGTGAATTCAAAGTGGAGAAAAAATGCCGTTGTGGGGCTGCTATAGTCCCTAATGTAAGCTGTTCTAAGGAAGCCTTATGTACTATTGCTTGCGGAAAACCTCTTTCTTGTGGACATAAATGTGAGGAAGTATGCCATTTAGGATAATGTCCTAAAGAAGGAAATTGCTAGAAAAAATGCAATAAATAAAGGCTTTTTTGTGGTCATAAATGCATATAAACATGTCATGGATAAAGTGAGTGTCCAAAAGAACCTTGTAAAGTAGAAATAGTGATAAAATGTAAATGCGGACATAGGGAAGCTTTCGTAGAATGTGGTACTTCAGACTGTGTTTTGGACCGGTCTTTAGCCTGTAATGATGTTTGTAGAAATATTAATAGATTTGCGAGATTTTATGATAATGAGAAGGTCTTTTATCCAGCTGTATTAGTCAGATTTGCGAAACAAAATATGCTATACCTAATAAAACTGGAAAAAAAAATAGAGTCTTTTATAAAAAATTAGGAAAAGGAATTATCTTTGCCTTTCTAAAATGACACTTAGAAAAAAGTCTCTGTTTAAAATTTGTTAGCAAGACATTATCATTTAAATGTGTAGTATTATAATCATTTTAATTCCCCTTATTTTGTTATTGAAAGTACAAAAGATGTCTGTATTCCGAAATGTCCACTTTCCGAGTATTGTAAAAAAGTCGAAAAAGGAGAAATTAAATCCGATGTTTCCCCTTTTTAGGTCTCGATTAGATTTATAGGAGTTCTGGCCAAAAACGACCCGAATTTCGAATAATTGGATTATATATTGAAAGATGTATAGAAGGAGTTCTATGTAGAAAAGGAAGATAGGTCAATTGTGGTCCATTTCTGGGATAAACAAGTAGCCGAAGTAGCCTAAAAAAAGCTCTATAAAAGCTAGTCTATGTACTCGAATTTCAGCTTCGAAGTCAACGAAAAACTACTGAAAGAAGAATAATAACTAATAGTGCCTCCTTCAGATATTATTAGAAGAATGAAAGTTTAAAAATAGTAGTAATAATAAAATGATTAAGGAGAAGATTAAATAAATAATTAAGAATTTTATATAATAGATGATGACAAAGACTAAAAATATGAAAATTATTGTAATTAAATGTGTCCATAATAGGAAATAATTGAAAGGGAATAAAAAATGCTTATAAGTATTTTTGAGTAAAATCCTAATACTTCTTAAATGAAAAGTAACCAAAAATATATAATTAAGTCTTATTTAAGGACTTCTTTAGAAAATACTTAGACTTCTTTTATTAGAAAGCCTTCTGTTTTATATAATACATGTCTTTATATTATTAATTAGATACTAGATGTTGATTCTTATATTAATATTCCTTTTAAATTTCCTAGAAATGAATAGGGAAAGTGTAGAAATTATACTTTTCAAGATATATATGAATTCGCGAATGATAGATTTAAAGCCATAAGGCAAGATATTACAGTTTTGAATGAAAAAAGTATACTTTTATTGGAAGTTTTAGGCTATATATGTAGGTTCTATATCGTTTCGATACATGAAACAAAGTAAATAGGAAACGATTTTGATGATAAACTACTTTTTAATGAAGTTTAGGCTTCTTTTGGATAATTTAGGAATATGAAAAGGGGTTTAGAAATAAAAAAAGAAAACGAAAAAATATATAAAATGGTTTGTGAGATATATAGCTATTATATTATAATAAATGGGTTTAAAAATGTATTTTTAAATGAAATTTTATAAGAAATAAAAGAAGATTTAGACGATGAAAACATAAAAAAAGCCTTAGAAATTGTAAATAGTATATAAGAGGAAAATTATGCTTTATTTTTTAGTATTTTTAAAGAAAAACTAAACTTTTTATAAGCATCTTCTGCATTTTCTTTGTTTGGAAATATTAGGGAAAAATATATACAAATTATTACTTAAAATAAATAATAAAGTATTACTTTTAAATAATTTTAGAATCTTTTACTATTTCATAGTGGGGGTTTGGCTAGTATTTTTTTAAAAAGTTAAGGATTTGAGATAGAAGAGGGAATTTAAGAAGATAAAATAATAGAATTTAAAAAGGTTCATGAAAAAGATGAATATATGCTAAAAGAATATAATGAGTTTTTGATTAAAAAAAAACTAAGGAGTGCATATGCCAATTTTATACTCGAAAGTAATCTTTGTCATTTTGAATATGTTACAAATAAATTTTTAGTTCTTGGCTGGAGTTAATATATAGGAGAAAATATAAAAGAAGAATAATAAAAAGTAGATAAAAATTTTCAAGAAGTGAATTAAATTAAAAAAGAAGAAAACAATATTAAAAAAGAAAGCGAAAAATTAAATTAATAAATTAATGAAGTTAATTTATAATGATATAAAGATTTAATATATAAATAATATTAAATTTATTATGATAATGATTCTATTATTTAAAAATATAAAGTATTTATAATTTATATAATAAACTAAATAAAATATATTTTTTTATATATAAAAAAAAAAAAATTTAAATTATGTATATTTAATAATATAATTTATGTTTAAAATAAAACAAAAAAATATATATTTTATTAAAAAAAATATGTCGACATAAAATATACAATAAAATAAAAAATAAACATAAAATTAGAATTAAAGAAAGTTAAATTAAAAAAATTAAGAAATAAATTCTTAAAATATATATATATATATATATATTTATATATTTTTTTTAAAGAACTAAATCCTTATCTCATTATTCAGGAAAGTTATGTAAAGGAAATATATTATCTAAACCATTTTAAATAAACTAAAATGAATAATAAAACCGAATAAATAATTTATAAAAAACTTATGATTTTAATTTTTCCTAAAATAATGAAAACTAAAAGAATTTAATTATTTTAAATAGCGTAAAACGAAAAATTTAAATTTTATTTATTTTTATAAAATAAGAGAAATTCTAAAAGCTATTAGCAAAAAAGAAAAGAAAATGTCAATCAAGAAACTTAAATTAGACCAAAAACTAATTATTTAACAAATAATTCATTAAAAATAGCAGAATCATAAATATATTTAAATATATATTTTACTTAAAGTAAAGATTTAATTATATATTACATATATTTTTATAATTAAAAAAAATTAAATATAAAAAAGCTACTCTTAGAAATTTATTAAAAGAAAGTAAACAAAAAATATATAACTAAAATATTTTATTTTATTTTTCAAAAAAAAAAAAAATACAAGTAAATTATCCAAAATAAGTTAAGCCTTTACCTCCAGAAGATATAAGATTAGACCTAATATATTAAATAATGTAAAAATTATTTCAAGAAATAAATTTTTACATATTTAACATTCTTATATGCTAACACGAAATAACATAAAGCTATTTAATATTTTTTTCTGGTTAAAATTAAAATAAAAATAATAAAAAAATATATATTAATATAGATGCAGAACATATACCATTTAGTAAATGTTGCAATTCCTCTATATATGTATAATTAAATTAAAATAAGACTGGAAATATAATATGTAATGATTAAGTTTGTCATTTATAAACTTTGACGTAATTTACATTAAGTTATGCAGATGAAAACCATTAAAATATACTTTTTAAAAATAAATATAACTAAAATCAAAAAATGAGAAACTATATATCTAAACTAATAACTACAGGAGTATATAAGAATAAATCAATAACATAAAGGATTTTAAAAATGTAAAGATTATAAAAATAAATTTTATAATAAAAATAAGTTGAAAATAATAATCTAATTAAGTCAGATCATCAATAACATAAATTTAATAAAATTAAAAACTCTTTTAATGAAAGTTAAGACGCATTAAATCATAATTTAGACTAATAATAATAGGAATGTAAAGATTTTAATTAATAAAATTATCAAAATAATAAATTAAATAAATCAAAAAATAATAACAATAATACGTTTATAAAGATTTGTTTAAAAAGTGGATATATTAAAGAAAAAAATAAAAAAAACTCAATTATATACAATGAATGTTAATAGAATTCGTAAATGAATGAAAAAGAGGGCACAATTTTAAATATAAAAAACATAATAAACGAATTGTTATTATGATTATATATATAAAAAAATTTGTATAATAATTTTATTATATATATAGAAATATATATACTTAAGAAATGTTAGTATTACTATATTTTAAAATTTCTTTATTTAAAAATATTATTAAGCAATTATAATTCAAATTTATAAAGTTTATATTTTATTTTAATAAATTATTAAAAATATAACTATCAATATAGATATATAAAAAATAAAAATTATTAATTATAAATAAATTTTGAAAAAATATAAATTAAATAAAAAATATATAATTAAATATATATAAATATTAAAGATATATATATATATATATATATATTTATATATATTTATTTATATATAATCTTAATCATATTTATTTATAATATATTTTTTTACTATATAAGAATTTTCCATTTTATTAAAATACTTATTTCATTATTAATATTTTTAAATATAAAAGTAAATGATTTATATTATATTAAATGAAATATATCATTTAATTGAAAATCAAATAAAACTATTTTATTTTCTAAAAAATATTTCTTTTAATATGTTTTTATAATTTTTTATGTATTATTATTAATATTTTTTTTAAAATATTTAAAATAAAATAATTGCTTACAAAATTTTTTGTAAAAATACAATAATCTTAATAATATTATTTTTATATTTTTTTCATATAATTTATGATTTTTAATATATTTAGAAAAATCTTTTATTAAATATTGAATTTATAATTTTTTATAAATAAAATTAAAAAATAAAAATTGATTATAAAATATGAAATTTTATTTTTTTATATTATTATTTCATTATTAAAAAGCTATATTATATTAATTGTTTTAATAACTTATTAAAACAAAATGTATAAAAAATCCAATTACAAGTAAAGAACTTAAATATTCTTATCCAATATCTTTCCAATATTTACCTTAAAATTTATCTTTAATATAATATATATATATATATTAATATATATATATATATTTAAAAACATAAAGTAAATGAAATTAAATATCCTAGACTATATCCAAAAAAAGCTCTACTAATAAATGTAGTTTTTTCAAGTTTTTTTCTTTTTTTTTTTTGTTAAATATCATAATAATATATATTTTTTTCTAATACATAATAGTTTGGAAAAGAACAACTAAAAAAAACGAACAAATTAAAGGTATTATAAACTTATAAAATGCTTAAAAAAAACTATATATAAATAAAAAAAATACATCGTGTCCAGATACCTCAAAATAATTAAAAGCAATAAATCCCAAAAAGCCTAAATTGGAGCAACTAAAAATATTTAAATATCTTATCAAATAATCATAATTTCTAACTGTTTTAGCAATTAAAATAAGCCATAAAATCCAAAAAAAAGACTCAAATTTTAAAATACAAGATAAAAACCACCAATATACACCAATAATAGCAATTTTAATTTTTTGGTAATTATTTTCATTTTAAATTGTATCCTTATGTTTTTATGCTAATGTAAAATATAAATCTACTATTCCATAATGTGCTAATATTCCAATAATAATAAAATATTAATTTTTTTAAAACTATTATAATAAAATTAAAAATATTTATCCATCATGATTATTATTACAGTAAGGAACATTAATTGTATTATTATATTAATCAATACTATTACTATTATGATAAATATCATTATTTAAGCATTTATTTTAGTCTATATTTAAATTCATTTATATATATATATATTATTATTATTTATTTTTATTTAAAAAAAATATTTTTTTTTTTTTTTCCATAAAATTTTTTTTTTTTATAAATAAATCATTTTTTTTATTAAAATAAAAAAAAACAAAAACTAAAAATATATATAAAATAAAACAAAAATAAAACTCATAAAGCTTATCCTTTCTTATTTTATTATTCAGTCCAAGTTTTAGCGATAGTTTTTTTCATTTCATCGTCTCCATTTTCGTACATTTCTTTCATTAGTTTCATTAAAGAAGCTTAAGGATCTCCCGAATCTAATTCATTTTCTTTAGGCTTTTTAAAAGTACTTTCTTTATATTAAAGTTGTGCCCAATTACCTGAATTTTCCTTTACTAAAGTGATTAAAATATAATCTTTTTTTACCACAAACTTACTCTAAGAAGCATTTATTTTCTCACATAATTATGGTATCGAAAACTTGTAGTTTTATTTCTTATAGTCATGAATTAAAACTTCCAAACTTTATTCTTTAAAAGTAACATTAATATTTTCTTTACTTAATGTATTTATATCATCCAAGTTCAAATATATAGACACTTTCTTTCCTTCTTAATCATATGAATATTTTGATATTGGTTAATATACTTTTCTATCTTATTATTATTATTATTATTATTATTATTATTATTTTTAATCTTCTTAGGCTTTTTTTTATTTCTCTACTTATTCTAATTCTACTTATATATGTCTTATTCTATTACTTAATAATTCCCTTACTGATTATCTTTAGGCTTTTTCAAGCAATTGTTTAAGTTCTTATATATCTAGGTCGTATTCTTTTAATTCCATTTTTTTTTTTTTTTAGATATTAATCTTTATTTTTTTTTTAAAAAAAAAATATTAGTTTTGGTTTTTTTGTTTTTTTTTTTCTTTCTTTCTTAATTTTAAGAAATAATATATATAAATGTTCTTTTTTCTTTTTTCTATTTTTCTGTATTTTAATTTTTATATAATAACAAATAAAAAAGAGTTTTTTTAATATATATAGACAATAAGAGTTAAGAAATCAACTCAAATATTTAATTATTTGCAAATATAAATGATATTACTATTAAAAATAAAATATTTAAATAATGGAAATAATATAAAAGAATAAATATATAAATAACACTATTATAATAATTACTTATATCTAAGAATAATTATATTAATTAAGTATTATATTTAGTTATATTAAATTAAGAAAATAATATGAATTCTATTATATATATATATATATATGATTATAATATATAATACATATATTAAACTTTTTTTTTAAAAAAAAATAATAAAATGATAAAATAAGCATTATTTATTTAAAAAGTATTTTATATTTATAAAGCTTTTTTTATTTTTTTAAATAAATAAATAAAAAATAGAAATACATATAAATATAGAATATTTAATTAAAAAATAAATATTTATTTGCTTAATAAAATGTCGAAAAATTTTAAAAAAATTCATTTATATCATTTGTTTATAAGAATATAGATATGAAATAATTTTTTTAAAAAAAATAATTGAAAAAAAAATAAAAAAACTTATAATAATTAACTTTTTAATTTAATTGTAAATTTTTTTAAAAAATAAAATAAAAAAAAGATATAAGTACTTAAACAAGTAATAGATAAAAAACATAATTAATAATTTAATTAAAGTACTTCAGAATATTAATTTTTAAAATTTATAAATAAATATAATTTATTACAAAAAAAAAAATTAATATTTTAAAATATAAAATAAAAATACTGAGAAAATAATAAAAATAAAAAAAAAACATAAATAAAAATAAAAATAATAAATGATTAATTGATAATAATAATAAATATAAATATAATAATAATAATAAATATAAGATTAAGAATAAATATAAATATAAATATAAATATAATAATAATAATAATAATAATAATAATAATAATAATAATATCAATAAATAATAATAATATATATATAAAAATATAAATAATAAACAATTTTATTTTTTATAAAAAGATATATAAAATAGCTGTTTAATATTATAAATAATCTTCTTAATATAAATATAAATATTCAATATAATACTAAGAATAGGCAAATAAATATTAAAATTTACCATCTTAAAAACTCTAATATAGTTTGAGTGATTCAATTCAAAAAAATCTAATTTTTAAAAGTAGTCTACAATTCCGTCTACTAAACCAAATTTATAACTATAATAATTCGTAAAAAAATAAAAAAAAAATAAAAAAAAAATAAAAAAAAATAGATTGCAAAAATTCCACGTCCATATACAACATAAGAATAAATAAATAACAAAACATAAATATGTGATTCTTAAATGTTTAATATTCCATATTCATTTGATAAATATATTCAAAAAGATAACGGATGTACTGGTCATCGTTTAAAGGGGCCTATTATATACGCATAATAAAAAGTAACATAAATAATACACTATATTTTAAAACATATTAAAAAAAATATATATAGAAATATATATTTAATTATATATTTATAATTAAATATGAATATATTATATATTTATATATATATATAAATTATATTTTATTATATTTTTTAATATAATTATTCTATTATATAATACAGTAATCCAATAATCTAATATTCCTTTAGGCTTTATAGTTACACCTTTTACATAATTAAATCAATATGAATATCCTTTATCATAAATTTACTGCACATCATAAATTTTAATATTATTTTTTCGATCTTTTGCATATAAAAATCCATTTTATATATTTTATTATATGGTAATTCTTTTGCATGTAATCATTTTTCGTTAAATAAATAAAGTCCCTAATGAATATTTTTCTCTATTTAACGTATTTTAAGAACGAGCAGATAAGTATATCTGACCAGAATTATCCAAAGGCGCCTATGAATTTATTGCACCTCAAAATTATCATCGAAAATCATTTTAATAAAATCTTTTTTAGTTTTTCTAGAAATGACTTCTTTTTCTGTCCAAAAAATTATCTTTTAATAATTCCTGAATACTATAAAGCCTCTTTAGATTACATACCTTATCCTGAGCGTACTTCAATAGCTATATGTACTTATAATTCTTAAATATATTTCTATAGTATTCCAAAAGACTTCTTATATGATCCTTAAATTATTGTAGTTTCAGATTTAGATGAACCTTATTGTCCTTTTCCTAAAAATTCCCTATTCTTAAACATATCCTAAGATCGGGAAAAAATTGAATATTTAATCGATAAACTTTTATAATAAAACATGGACCTTTTTTCCCTTTAAAAAAACCTCAAAGCCGCCTCTATACTATCATTAATATAATCAATTCACCCCACACTTGAGGAAAACCCAGCAAAAATAATCCTTTTTTTCTCCCAATTACCCAATCTCTGAAATGGTAAGCTCAAAAGACGAGATGATGTTAAACTAATGGGTACAGACTAAGAAAAAACCCTATATATACCCTAATGTGCCTCATATAAGGACCTTTCTTTACTTCTCCTTTAGAAATCTATCTCCATAGACCTTTTTATATTCTCTTCAGAATATACTGACCTCTCCACAACTTCCCAACTATCCACAATCACCGGCGGAAACATAAATTTCTACCCAAATTTCACCCCCGAATTACATTCAGAGAAACTTCACTACAATCTCTTCAGAAATATAACAAAAAGCTACTCCATAGACTGTATTTTGACCCTTAGGACTTCACCAGGCTTGATTCTAGAAGGATTTTACACTGTAATAGGTAATATATAGACCCGAGATGTATAAATAAGCTATTTAGACCCTGATTATACACTAGGAATAGCCTATAAATAGAAAGATAAAATAATTCAAAATTAAGCCTATGTTTAATTTGCTGTTTTATATTCTAGTTTAGATGGAAAAAGACTCATTAGAGTATTTAATTTGGCTTTATAAGTATAAAATAATATACAAGGAATTTTCAAAAACATCGATTTTGATGCAACTTTCGGCCTTTTAATCAGAAAATAATTGTCTTTGTTAAATATTTAGAATACTAATTAAATAAAAGACACTTTAATTGCCTAAACTGTAAATATTTTGTATTCTTATAGGAATTATTGTGTCCAAGGAAGCTCTTAAAGTCAACTAATTCTCCCAGAAACACTTAGAATGTTGCCTATTATAGTCCAGTCTTTATTAAAATAGGAAGCTTTTAGGTTTTACTAGTGTCGTGAAACCTGATATTAAGTAATATTAGATGATAAAATATGCTAAAATACGCCCTATTGGCTCAATTAGTGGTTATACTCTAAAGTATATGCAATACATAATATTAAAAATGAAACATTTAATGATTTAAACGTATAGATAGGTTCTATATTTGAAGATGATAAGGTTGTAATGCCTAACAGTATTCCTTCTACAATAGATAGAATTATTAGTAATGGAGTTTACATAATTGATAATGGAGAAAGCTTATATATTTGGATATAAAAAAATGTTAAAATGATATGTTAGAAGATTTATTTGAAATATAAAAAAATGAATAATTAAAAGGAATTTTTTAATTACCGAGTTTTATTGAAAAAATAATATAAATTAAAAAGTGAATAATATAATAAATTAATTAAGGTAAAGCAAAATGGGAGCTTTTTAAAATATACAAGCAATAATTAATAAAAATTAGATGAATAAAAAGCTAAAAATTTAATGGTAGTAGATAAAAATAAGGATTAAAAAAATTACGTCGATTTTCTATTTAAAATCCAAAACCTAATTTAAAAAAAAATAAACTTGATAATATTATATTATATCCATGTGAATCATTATTTCTTTATATATTAAATATAATAATTATAATTTTCAATAAACTAATTTTGATAATTAAATATATATATATATATATATATATATATATATATATAAATATATTTATATATAATATTTTTTTTTTATTTAATTATATACATATATTTTATTTTATTTAAATTAAGTAGTATATTATTTTTTTTAATTTTTCATTTTTTTTACAAATCATTTATAATTTCTTTTAAAATATTAAATAGAGATTTTTAATTAATGTTTCTTATATTAACTAAATTTTTAATGTTTTCTTTATTTTAAAAGGTTAATTCTACATTTTTTTCTTTATTTAATGAAACAAAGAACAAATCTAAATCCACTACACTCTATATATAAATATTTAATAAAGAATTAACTTTCTATATTTATTTTTCTAAATGTATATTAGTATTACTATCTTTAAAGTCTAATATTTTTTATTAAATAGCATATTCTTCCTTTATTTTATTAATATTTAATTCAAGAATTTTTATATGCATTTTATCTTTTTATATTTCCAATTTTTATTTTTCTATTTCTTATTTATCCTTTTAATGTCTATCTTATAAAATATTATTTAATTTCAACATATCATTTATATATTCTTTTATATTTCCGTCTATATTAATCATATTCATAACTTTTTATTTTAAACATTTTAATTTTATCTTCATTTTTTCATTTTTCATTATTAAATATTTTTCATTATTACTTTTTTCGGAAATATCATTATTAAATTATTATTCTTTACTTAATATTTAGTTTTCATTAGTTTATTTTATTTAATCTTTATTCGAATTTTCCCATATTTCTTTATTAGAAAAAAACTTTTCAGTTTATTCGAAAATAGACTGTAATTAATTTTTTACATATTAACTTTATTTATTAATATCAACTAACATTTAATTTTCCGTTTTTAATTTTAAAATTTCCTTTTACATTTAAGATATAGTATTTTGCTCTTTTTAATAATTTTTTACTTTAAATCTTCGATTTTTTCTTTCTATTTTTATATTATTTCTTATTAAAGTCTAATAATTTCATTTTGAGCTTTATATCTATTTAAACATTCCTTTTCGAGTTCAATTTAATAATTATTCTCTATTAAAATTTCAGGATTATTTGATATTTTACTTGCAGTCAATTAAATAATTTCTTGAATTTCTTTATTTTTCAAATCAATATTTTCCTATAATAATTTAATATTTTACATATAATCTTCTTATTCCGATATAATATTATTCTAATGACTATCTTATTGCAATTATTACTAAATTTTAATACTTTAAAGCTCTTATATAATTTATTATTTTTATTTATTTTTCGATAATATATAATTAATATAAGAATTTAAAGACTCCAAACTATTAAAATTATCTAATTACATTTTAATTATTAATTTATATAAAATAATATAAAATACATATAAAATTAAACATTATATTATTTTTTTTTTTTTTTTCATATAAAATAATTCTTCTCAAAAGACATTTAAATTCCTTATATCCCACCAGCATTCCCTCCCACATCTTTTTTCATATTTTCCGGGCTTTCCATAAACACATTAAAATATTTATTTCCATTCTCATCGATTTCTAAAATAGAGGCTTTATTTTCTAAAAAAATAAATAAAATAATATAAATATATATATAAATATATATAAATTATATATATATATTTATATATATATATTTATAAAATACTAAATCTCATCATATAATTAGGTGCACTCCAAACTGTTGACAATTTCTTATCAAAAACTTCAATAAAACCATCTGTACATAATTAATGTGCTCTCGAAATATGAGTTAAATCATTTATAAATAAAAACCTTTCAACAATATCTTTACCGAATAAATAACCAGCGCCTCTTTCGCTTATCATAAATCCATACTCCTTCTCCCCTGCAGGATCAGACCACATTAAATCTGTATAAGGTCCTTCCCTAGGAATTTCTTAAAACCTATCTAATTTATATATGTCTTCAATTTTTTCAATATTTGGAGACAATCCTCCATGAACACAAAATATTGTATAATCTATAATACAACCTAAAGGTAAAAAATCAAATGCATCGGTATATAATTCCCAAACAGTTTAATTTCCATATTTAGATTAACATTCTACATAAAAACCATAATTCTAATATACATTATATATATATATAATATTTATATATATATATATATATATATATATATATATGTTTTATTACTTGTGTTACTGCCCTTGCCTCATGATTACCTCTTATTAATGTCATTCTTTCAGGATATTTTATTTTTAATAAAAACAAAAGAGTTATAACTTCTACACTATATCTACCTTTTTGATATTATAAAGAAAATCAATTGAAATATAAAACCTCTATCGACATAATCACCTAGCCATAAATAATTAGTATATGGAGGTTCACCTCCTACTTTGAAGATTTCTTATACATCATAGAATTAACTTTTTTTATTTTATTTATGCAAAACAAATAATAAATATATTAATAAGTTTAAATTTTAATATATATATATATATATATATATATATATATTTATATATTAATATATTAATATATATATATATACACATTATTTTATATATTTTTAATTATTATTAAAATAAATAAATAAGATTTTAATGTTAATGAAATTTATATTTAAGTACATTTATATATCCTTATTTTATAATCGAGTATTTAACAAAAATAATACTCAAATATGTATATTATAATAATTGAGAATATTATATTATTTAATATTTACTTTTATTTATTTATAGAAATTATATATATATATTATACCCATGTACATCACCTACTAATGTTACAGGAGAATTAATGAATTTAATATTTTATTCATCACAAAATATTTGTTTTATTTTAATACAAATTAATTTAATCTCTATTTCTTTCAATTTTTATCCATCTTTTGCTTTTTCTAAAAATTAATCTATATCAAATCCCAATTTTTTGTATTTTTTTGTATTTTTTTTTTATTTAAAACAAAAAATATTTTTATAATTTTTATATATATAACAAAATAAATAATATAAAAATAAAAAAAAATACAGATATAATAAAAAATATGTATTTTATAAAATATCAAATGTCATTTTTAAGCCTTTTATTTACTTAAAAACAATCTTTTATTACACAGTTTATTATCATTATTCCCTTTACACAAGCAATTATCAACAAACTAATAATTAGCCTAAATTTCACCTTGAGATAAAGAGTTTTTACCAAATAATTCTTAAAAAGCTTCACTAGAAATTCCAAATTTAGCATTATTGACTCCTCCATTTACAGAATTTTAAATACTATCCACAACTGTAAAATAAATATATTTTTAACCATAGTTTAATTTGACACATTTTCCACAGTTTATAGAATTCCATTAAGCTTTATTATAACTACCTACATATGGAAACATTTTTGATAAATCATATTAATTTTATTTAGTAATAATGCCATTAATTCCGTTTGAACATGAAACATTTAATAATTTGTCACTTGATTTAAAATTATGATAAGTAACATAAGCAATTTACGAATTGTTATTATTATTATTATTATTATTATTATTATTATTAACAATTTCTATATTTAATATATATAAATATATATTAAATATAAATATAAATATAAATATATAAATAAATATATATATATATATATATATAATTTTTTTATATATATTATCAATATATAAATAATACACTTATTGCAGTTTTTATTTCCTTTACACAAACAAGGATCTGCTTAAGCATAATCAGCAATAATACTACCTTTTTAATAACCTTCATTTCCAAAAATTTCATTAAAAGCTTCCGGACTTATATCGAAATGAACATTAGCTCCATTAATTGGAGATCCACATTAATCAATGACTGTAAAATAAATTTATTTTTATTTATAACTAACTTTCATACATTAACCACAAGTAGGAGAATTCCAACCTGATAATGAATAAGCAGCTACATATGGATACATTTATGATAAATCTTTATAACCAAAATTTGTAATTAGACCATTTTTACCGTCAGAACATGAACATGTAGTCAAAGATTAGGCTTTTGAATAATTATGATATGTACAATAGGCTTTTTAGCAATTTATTGATTATTAAATTAATAAAATTATGAGTATTTATTAAATTATAATTTTCATTATTTTTATAAAAATACTTGTTTATTATTTAAATATATTAATATGTAAATTTTAAATTTTAATGTTTATTTAAAATAAAATTAAAATTTATTTATTTAAAAGTTTAAATAAATAAATATATTTATAAATAAAATATGTATTCATATACATTTATTATAAGAATATTTTTTTTTTAATTTATTTATAATTTTAATTAATATTTTATTTATAATAACAAATAATAATACAATAATTTATATATATATATATACAAATTATATATATATATATATTTAATATTTTACAGTTTTTTATTTTCAAAAATACAAAACATGTCAATATATTATTGTTTTTTATTAAATTATTAATAAATAAAACATAAAAAAAATAATTTTTATGTTAACAATAATGATTATATATATATATATATATATTATCAATTCATATTAAAATTTAATAGAAGATATTTGCAAAATAAATATAATATTTTATTATAATAATTGAAATAAAATATAATTATTTAAATATATAAGAAAATTAAAAATTAATTTTTAAATTTTATATTGTATTGAATGATTAAAATTAAATAAAAACTAATATTTAATTATAATCTAAAAAATATAAAATAGATTAATTTTTTTCAAAAAAAATCAATTTTATTCAAATTCATTTAAATTTTCAATATAATTAGATTCTTCTAAAATTTTATAAATAAATATAAAAAAAAAAAAAAAAGTATATAAAAAAAATAAATATATATATATAAAAAACAAGAAATAAAAGAATTAAATATATATATATATATATTTATATATATATATATATATATATATATATATTATAATAATTATATATGTATTAGTATTTTTACATTAATTTTTAACTTATATTTTAATTTATTCAAAATTATTATTTTATTTAATTATAAAATAGTTTTTATATGATTAAAAATTTTAAAAAATTTACTTGATAAATTTAATGAAGTACTTTATTTTTATATTTATTTTTTTCTATTTTTCTCAAATTTTAATATTTATTCAGCTGCAAATTCGTATACATTACAAGATGGTAAACCGTTTTTACAAGCTTATCTTAGAAAATCTTATATAATATACATATATATATATATAAATTATAAATATATTTATATATATATAAATATATTTATATATTTATATATTTATATATTTATATATTTATATATTTATATATTTTTATATTTAAATTTATAATAACACTCATAAGCTTCAAAAATACCAGATCTTTATAAAATACTTTTATCCTTATTTATTTTTTTATTTTCATATTCTTTATTTAAAGAAGACATATTTAATAATAAATATTTAATTATATAATTAAAAAAAATTTAATTAATAAAAAAATATTAAGTTAGAATGGAGAAATAAAATAAAATATTAAATAATATGTTATTAATATTAATAAATAAATAATAAAAAAAAATATATTCCAAAATAAAAAATACAATTATATATTAAAAAAAAATATATATCTATCTATATATATATATATTAAATATATATATATATGCTTTTATATTTATTTAAATATTTTCATTAATAATCCTTTTATCAAAAATATTATCCTTACTATTATTAAAATTATTATTAATATAATTATTATTATTATAATTATTAATATTATTATTATTATTATTACTATTATAATTATTATTAACTATATTAGTCTTACAGAATTCTATCATATGTTTTCTAAGTGACTTTTATTAAATCCTATTGGTTTTTCTATTCGAAAAATCCTTAATTACTTAATGACACTTTCGACTATATTTTGAATTTTTAAAACGAGTTTTCTTTCCAACTTTTACATTTTGACTTATTCATTTTATTGAAGATTTCTGTATAATTTTCTTAAATAATTTTTAATTCTTCTTAATTTAAAATATTATTAATTAAATTTAAATAATTGTTATTTCCTAATATACCGCTCATTAATTCCATTATTTCTTTATATATACTCTTTATTTACACTCGAGGATTTTATATTCCCATACAAATACCTTTCAATATAACCTAATATGTCTCATTTCTTAAATTCATAAAGTTATTTCCTCCAACTAACATTAATTATTTTAACATTTTAAGCCCATTTTCTTGCACATTTACTGATTTGGCGACTACTCCTGCCTTTATACTACTAGTATATGCCACATCATACATATAACATGCCTAAGAAAAAGTCGTAAGAGCCTCCTAAGCTGTCTAGGCTACAATTTTGTTTTCACATATTGACTTTTAAAGAATTATAGGTAGCATTTTTTCAATAATAACATCATTTAATCTTACAGATGAAGCAGATATAAATACTTCATTAATAAAAAGCAAAGAATTTTTTAATATACATGTTTTGACACTTTCTATATTAGATAAAATTTACATTCCAAAAGTATTAAAAACGTCATTTATTTTTTAAGGAAAACTCTTGTTAAATCTTCTCAAATTTGTTATAGCTTCAAATTATTGGAGCCAGTTTTAAGTGTTATTGATTTAATTTGATATTTCTTGCCCAATTTATGTCATATCACAATCTAAAGGAAATATTTGGAGATCTTAAAAGTTTATATAAGTCAATTTTGCTTAAAGAGCATTTTCATTGTCTTGATTTTGGTAATTTTCTTGACTATTATATTGTGAGTAATCCATATTCTTTTTTGTTATTTTTAATAATTTTATTTTTTAAGGTAAAATTTAAATTTTGAAAAAAAATAATTAATTTATAGTGTTTTTTTTTTATAATATATTAAATATAATTTTTTTTTTTTTTTTTTTTTTCGTGTTTAATTAATTTTGAGGATATTTTTTTTTTTTGATTTTGTTTTTTTATTGTTTTAAAGCTTTTTTTTATTTAAATATGAAAAAAAATAAAGCAAATTAAAATTATTTTTTAATAGAAAAATCAAAAATATACTTAATTTTTAAATTTAAAATATACTTAAATTATTAAATAATATATAATATAAAAATAGAAAAAATTAATATATATATAAGCATAAATATATAAATATATTAAATAAAAAAAAAAATATCTATATTTAAATAAATATATATATATATATATATATTTAAAAATAAATATATATCAAAATTAAATAAAAATTATATATAATTTTAAATATATTATTTTAATAAAACATATTAATTTTATTAATAAATGAAACTATTACATTAATATTTATAAACAAACGGAACAAATTCTTATAAATAATATTATATATCATTTTTTGTCAATAATTTCATTATATTATAAAATAAATTATAATATAAATTATATATCTGCATATTCTTTTTGAAAATATGTTATATAACAATAAAGCATAATTAATTTAATGAATTAGTTTTTATAATTTTTTTTAAAATAAGAAATGTATTTGATAACAAATTTAAATAAAAAATAAAATAGTATAAAATAATAAAAGCTAGATATAAACAATAAAAATAATAATAATATAAAAAAAATTGCAATAATTTACATAGTTAAATATTTTTTATAAAATAATTGTGAAAAAAAAAAAAATAACATTATTTAATACTTTAGATATATTTAATTAATTAATAAATATATTAAAAATTATTAAGATAGATATTTTATAAGAAAAAAAAGGAAAATAAAAATTATATTAAAATAAAGATATAATAAAAAATATATAATAAAAAATATATAAAATAAAAAATATATTATAAAAAAATATATAATAATAATAATAATAATAATAATAATAATAATAATTTTAAAAAAATAAAAAATATTCATATTAATTATAAATATTATAATTTTATATTTTTATATTAAAAACTAAAATATAATAATATAATATAAAACTTTAATTTTATATTTTATTTTCAATGTTTTTAATTATGTTAATTTTTTAAAAAATATTATTTAAAAATTTTCTTTTATTAATTTTATTGAATAAAAAAAACATATATATTAATTTAAATTTATATTTTTTGTTATATTTTTTATTTTTTTTTATTAAATTTAAATAAAATTTTAAAATATTTTATTTTAAAAAAGAATGAATATGAAAATTATATATATTTATTATCTTATAATATTTCTTATAAAATCATCTCTATAAATAGGTAATATACATAAAAATAAAAATATTAATATTAAAAAAAGACTTCCTTAATGGAAGAGGAACATTTAATTCCGATTTTACCTAATATTGGAAATAAGACGAAAACACTGATAATATAAAATTCGAGCATATATCTAATAATAACTAAAATTATTTAAAGATAACAAAATCTAAAGACGGAAAACTATCATTCCTAACCCATTATTTGATCTATAAATTTCCATAAAAAATATCACCAAGGCATTTATTATTTTATTTTTATTCAACTAATGTAGAAACCGAAGATACAAACTTAAGATTAGGTAATGAATCTTTAAATAAAACTGTAGTTTTATTTAGATGTGGAAATGCCGGTTTTATAAGAGTAAATGATAACTAAATGATAGATTTTTATAATTAAACTATTACAGGAAAAAATTCATAATAAATTATAAATGAACCTACTTGGACAAGAATGGATATATTTTTAGATTGGGAAAATAAATAAGTGACTATTTACTAAAATAAAACTTCAAGAGCAGTTACTGGATTTTATTATTCGGATGTTGATAATGTTGATTTTATTAAAATTTATAATCTAAAACCAAATACTGTAGGGTATTTTAAAGATATTTAACTATGTGATACTGAATCATGTGATGGTATATATAAATATATATTTATATATAATTAAAATTATTTTTAAAGACTTTTTATTTGGCAATATAAAGAGCCTAAATATTTTATATATTTATTTAGGTTATATATTTATTTAAATGATTATCGGTTGATTATTTTAATAATAAATTAATATCTATATGAAAAAAATTAAAAAATAAATATATAATATATAAATATTTATATATAATTTTTTATTTATATATATATAATAATTTATAATTATATATATTTATATATTTATATTTATACATATTTATAAAGTATATCACTATTAATAATATTTTTCACTATAATTTAATTTAAGTGAAATCATAAATATCTTCTACTTAGGCTCTTATATCTAATTAAATAATATTGATATATATATATATATAAATAATATATATATATATATATATTTTGTATAAACCTAATTAATTTAATAATTATATTTTTTATAAATGCTCTTATTTATTAATAGCATTGAATTCCAATAAATTAATATTAACTACTTATATTTTATTAATACAACAAATAACTTTTTATTTCAACAGTTATATCCCTTTTATTGTAATTCTATCAAAATTTAGATTATTTTCTTCGTTTAATATTATAGCTTAATTTCTAAATATATATATATATATATATATATATATATATATATATATATATATATTTATATATATATATTATACGTTTAAGGCAAATATAAAGGAAGATTTATTTTTTTATGAATTTAATAATTTTATATATATTCTACATTCATAACTTTTAGATAGTTTATAATTTCTTAATATTTATCTTACTATTATTCTAAAATTTCTTCTTAAAATTCTTCATTAAATGTTTTTTAAAGGAATTCTAAAATAATTTTTTCATCTTAATATTTTTGTTAAAAATATACTAAATTTAAGTACCCCACTTAATTCTTTTTCATTTCTTTCACTAAGCTTTCTATATTTTCTTCATTTGTTAACATTTTTACATATTTTTATAAAGCTTATATTACTTCATCCTACCTAAACTCCAATAAAGGCACAAAACTGATACATTATAGTATATCTTTAGGGTATATAAAGTCTTAATTTTTCTATAAAAACTTGATAATAAGATCAGAGAGCTTCTAACTTTAAAATCCTACCTAAAAGAACGCTTATAGAGCCTAAAAGAAATATAAAATGATATTATTTTGATGAAAATCTTGTAGAAAAACATCTAAAACTCTTTCAAAGAAATCATTTTATTTAATGAATTTTTCTGCAAAGCATGCTAAAAAATCTGCAAAATCCTCCAAGCTCATTTTCTCGAATAAAAGTCCGATTCCTTACAAAATTTTATTATAAAATTCGGGTTATGAAATATCTAAAAAAATCAATTTTTTTAAAATTCTTCTTAATTCAAATATATCAAAGTTCCTTTATGAAAATCTAATAAGTAAGTTTTTTAGAACAATATCATTAATATCTTAATCCCCTTTTTTATCCAAAGACATAAGTATTAAAAATTGAACTTTATCGAATTTTCCATTCATAAACTATTAAAGATTCTACAAAATAATATTTTTATGTTTTTAAATAAACTACTGAGGTAATTATAATAAACAACCTATATTAGATAGTACCATTTAGGGGTATTTTTGGTTATTTTCAATACTTTTTAATAATATATTGACCATTTCTTCAAATTGCTGTTTATTTTCTTAGAAAAAGCAATTATCATTTTATTATAAAAACCCATATATCCTACACTTAATATTTAATTCCTAAAAGTTTTCAATATTAAAAAATGTATGTGATTTTTGGGCTAATTTAAAATTAAGTTAATTATTCTCGGTTAAACATTAGAAATATAAAATTAGAATTAAAGGCTCTTTTTTGAAAGTTTTTTATTCAATATTTTATACATAAAGTAATAAAATTTCTCTTAAAAATCCATAAAAAAACTCTAGTTTTACTTAATTTTCAAGGCGTTAAAAAATAGAAAAAATTAAAGAAAGTAATATCAAACTGGGATTTTTAGAATATTCCTGGACTATAATTTTCAGAAATTTTCTAAATAAATACTCGAATTTATATACACTCCTCATAAATTATGAATTATCCTTTATTTTGTAAAAAAGATTCTTCATAGGAATGTTATTAGTTTAATCTAAAATTTAAATAAAAATCTCAAATCTTTCCTTTTAGAAAAATTCATCCAATTATAAATATTAATCTATAAACTAATTTTATATATATATTAATTAAATATAAATCTAATAATATAATTTATTATATATATATATATATATCAATTTTTATTTTATTATTATTCGTTTCATATATATTTTACTTTTCTACAAAAAATGGTATCTATTTACCCTTATTATTTTATATATAATACCCATATATTTAAAATCTCCTTATTTGTACATGAATATATTATCAATCTACATAAAGGAAGTTCTAAAGTTTTATATTTTTAAATTATATTTTAAACTGATCTTTTTAGAATAGATTTCCTATATTAATTGTCTAAGAGTGAATTATTTTAAGCTACAATGATTTGTTCGGGTGAATTTTAGATTGTATTTTCGATATTAGTATTTAGTTTTTCGAAGTAACTATTATATTTATTTTTATGAGAATATAAAATTATACCTAAACGTATTTATGTATAAATATCTAATTTTTAAATATCAAAATTATTTTTAATTATAAATTAAAAATAATTATCTAAATACGTAAAAAGCTTATAAAAATAAATAAATAATTATTAACCAAATATATATATATATATATATTTACTCCTTTTTAACTTTTTTTTTATAAAGCATCAACTAAAGACATATTAAAATGTGGCCAAATTTCAATATTATATTTTTAAACAAAAGTATTAAGCAACTTATTATCTTATTATAAATAAAAACTTGATAAATTAAGTATTTTTTCGCTTCGATATTTCACAAACTATAGAATTTCCTCATCTTTTCTTTTCAAAATTACATCAATAATAATATTAATTTGATTTTTTGTGATTCTATAATTATCCAATGTTAAAGACGCTTCCAAAAAATCGAATAAAAACAAAGTTTTTAATTATTAAGAATTATATTTTATCATTACAAATACCATTTCTTTCACTTCCTCTAATAAATCTATAGGAAAAATAGTCATACATAAAAATTTGTAAGCATTTAATATATTTAATACACTATTCTCATTTAAAGACTCAGTATTTTCTTTTATTTTATTTTTCAACAAATATAATATATTCGTAAACTAAAAATATAATATATATATTATATATATATATATATATATATATTATATATTTATATATTTATATTTATATATTTTACTTTGTATTTAGGATAGTTAATATTAATTTCAAGTCTTGCTATAGAAAAAAATAAATTAGCTTTTTATTAAATATCATATTCATTAATTTATATTTAAACTTAATTACATAATAATTCTGCTAATATATATTCTAGAGAACTCATAATCTTATTTTAATTTTTTAATGCATTGAATAGATTTATTATATCGAAATGTGTTATTATTTATTAGGTTTTTTTTAGGTTTTTTAGATTCAGTATTATTTAATTCACGAGATCTTCATTATATCTTCCTAAATTTGATAAATCATAATAAATATTAATTAAAGTTTTCAAATCATAGCATTTTTAAAATATTATTTGTTTTAATATTTCTAATACCTAGTTAATTTTCATTTCCATTTCTCCTATATACTATTTATTTTATTTTGATTTTCTTAACCAAAATAAAAGATCTAGAATTTCTAATTAATATATATAAAATAAATAAATATAAATATATATATATATATATTATATATATATTTATATATTTTTATATATATTTATGTATATGAATAAGTGTATTACATGATTCATTTATTTAATGTAATAATTATACTATTTTTTTCTATTAATTCTTAATAATTTCTATCATTTTATAATTATAATGAATTATTAATATTTCTACTTATTGATCTTAATAATTATGTCAAATGTTCATTTCTTAAATCTTTCTTATGAATTTTATATAATTATATACATTCATCGTAAGATTTGCATTAAGATATTTTAGTCATTATGCTTGTATTTTATTATTTTTATTATGAAAATGAAATATTGTTTATTTGATAAAAACATATATTGTTATATAAATTTTTTTGTATTATCTTTAAATTGTTTATATACATATTTTGTTTTTATTTTTATTTTTTTAAATATAAATAGATTTTGATTTAAAAAAATTATTTTATTTTTATCAAATATTTTTTTATTTAATTAGATTTATATATTTTTAATTTTATTTATAATTTCAATCTTTTTTTAAAAAAAATATTTGTAATGTTTATTATTTTAATAAATAAATTTAAATATAAATAAAATTATTTAAAATAAATATATATATATATATATATATTTATATTTATATTTAAATATATATATTTAATAAAAATCTTATTTACATTTTTTTATAAAATAATCTATAAATAATTATTTATAAAAATAAATATATTATTTAATTTATTTTTATATTGAATATTTTTTGTATTAAAAAATTATTTTTAAATCTTAGTAATTTTAATTTTATTATAATAAAAACACAAAAATATATTTAAAAATTAATTATTAAATATTTATATAAAAAAACGAATATTACAAAAAAACATTATTTTAAATCTATAATAAAATCTAATATTAAATTGCTATTATTACTTATATTTTTTAAAAAATCTTAAAATAATCTTTTAATAACATAAATGAATATATAAATTCTTTAAAAACAAGAAATATACAAAGAAACTTTATTAATTGTGAATAAAAAAGAAAATAAATAAATACTAAATTTATTAATATAAAGAAAAAATTAGATAAAAGATAATGAATTTATCAATTTAGACTTCTACTATAATAAAATTATTGAAATAAATAAAAAAACAGATATGGTAAAAAAAAGAGTATAAAAAGCTATTAATTCAACTAAATTTAAGATTTTAAAGTGAACAAATAAAAATATTAAAAAGGACATTATAGTTTTAGGAGAAAAAGGATATTTTAGAAACTTAATTAATAAAAAGAAATAAAGAATAAAATATATTAGTGGAAAAAAAAAACTTTAATAGAGAATAATCTTTCTAAACGAGAATTTTATTATAAAAAAAATAATAATATGAACTTTCTAATTTAAAGAATACATCTTCTTCTCCAATAAATTAACTAAATGAGGAATAAATTTTGTGTATTTCAGATTTTAAGAATCAAATAAATTCTTTGTAGAAATAAGTATAGAAGAAAAAGCAAAAATAAAAGCTATATAAGATTATTAGATAATCCTTTAAATGCAAATAGATGAAGAATATCAGAAGTAAAAAATTATGGAAAAATTCTTAAAATTTAGAGCCTAAAAAGAAAAAAAATAGCAAAATAAATAAAATATAGATATTATTATTATTATTATTATTATTATTATTTTATATTTTACTTAATCATATTTTATATTTTTATATTATAATTTTTATTTATATACTTTAATTTTTGACAATTATTATATTATTTGCATTTTTATTTGTTATTATAATTTTTTAATAAATTACTTTTTCTATAATTTAATTAAATAGATTATAATATAGAATCTATTTAAATATATTTTTAATCTTTATTGATTTCATCATTATTAAAACGAAGTTTTTTTTATTTATTAGCAATGTTTTCAAATCACTGTTCTCATGTTTTACATTTAATTTTATCTAGCTTTATTGTGGTTTAACATTTTCGTTTTTTTTTTAATATGAGTAATAAAATATCGAATCCAAATAAAATATATTAATTGACCTTCAGTTAGTTTTTATACCTATTAATTAGTTTATTTCTAATTCTTTAAATATTTTTAAATACTAATAATAACCATTAAAAAAAATTCTATTATAATATTAATTTAGATGTATTATATTTTATCTCATAACTAAAATATATAGAGTTTATTTAATATATTATTTCTTATTTTCGCTATAAATGGAAATTTATAACTCTAAAAGAATTACATATATTATAATATAATATATAAAAAATATAAACTATGGATTTTTTCCTTTATACTAAAACAATAAAAATAAAAATAAGATAAACATAAATTAATAAAATTTTATTTTATTTATAAAATATTAATTATATAAAAACATAAAGTATATAAAATAATAATATCATTAAGATATAAAAATATAACTTTTAATTTCTATATGGAAGTAGATATTTTAATAATATATATATATAAATTTATACTTTTTTTTAAATAAATATATATATATATATATATATATATATATTTATTTTTGAAAAACAAAAAGATATTTATAAAAAAAATATATTTTTATTTTTTAAATATATATTATATATATTTTATATATAAAAATAAAAATTTTATTTATTTATTTATTTTATAAATATATTTATATTTTATAAAATATATAACTTGTAATTTCAAAATTATGTTTAATAAGTTTATATATATTATTTATTAATATAATATCAATAAAATTCTATTTTTAATGTATTTTTTAAAAAAAAATATTTAAAGAGTATTTTTATTTTTATTTTTTTAAAGAATATATAAATATCTTTTATAATTAATAAAAAATATTTAAATAATATATATATATATATATAAATATATATATATACATAAATATTAATATATATATAAATATATATATTATAATTTATAATTAAAAAAAAAATTATTTCATAAAATAATAAAAAATAATAAACTATATTAATTTTAAAATTATAATTATTTTAATTTTATTTAAAATCAAAATTATTATTGCAAATAATAATTCAAAAAAACATATTTTAAATCTAGTGTTTATTATTAAAAATAAATGTAATTTCCACTTCCACCTCCTGATCGTCGTAAAAATCATGAAAATAAAATATAAATAAATGATAATTAATAAAAAGAAAACAAAATTTAACGTAAAAAAATCAATTAAACAAATCTTTATTAAAACTAATAAAATCAAAGAAATCTCCCCCAAAAACAATATATATATGCAAAATGATTCAAATTCGTTAAAACAAATGATAAAATAATAAAATTAAAAATTAAGATATGAATTGAAATAATATAAAATATTAAAATAAATATAAGAAAATAGAAATATACTCCCATATTAATTAAATTTGATATTATTTGGTCCAACAGGATCAGGTAAGAGTTCTTTAATAAAGTAAAAAATATAAGTATACATAAAAATATTATTAATTATTGAAAAGAACTTTTTACTAATCATTAAATTAAACAGATATAAAAGATGAGGATTCATAATAAAAAATAATAATATAAGACTTAAAACATAATGAAGGAACAAAGTAACTTACTTAAATATTAATAAAAGACAGATAAAAACATATTATTGAATATTAAAAGAATTAATAATTAATAATAGAAAATAGTAGTATATATTGTTATGATACAAGAGGTTAAATTTATATGAATCAAAATGAATTTGAATAAATTAATTTCATAATAGACGTAAACAAACTATAAATATAAATATAAATATAAATATAAATATAAATATAAATATAAATATAAATATAAAAATATATTTATATATATATATATATATATATATATATATATATATATTAACCTTATTTTTTTTTAAATATTTTATAATTATCAATTTTTCTTAATAATTTTTTTTATATTATTTTAAAATATATATTTTTTTTTTTTCATTTTTTTTATTATTATTCTTTTATTAAATTAATATTTTAACTATTATTTTTTAAATTTTAATATTTTTTTTTTTTTAATATTTAATATATATTTTTTTTTACTATCTAATTTTAATTTTTAGGGAAAAATAAAAAATATGAGTTTTGCTTAATAAAGATAATATAGATATTCATATTTACTTTGGGAATTTTGGAAAAAAGACTCTGAATTATTTCCATCAGAAATTCTTATAAATGAAAAAAATATTTAAAATACCCCTCATTGTATTATAATTGTTTTTGATGGAAGTCTAGATGAAGTACCTAATGAGGAAGAAACCGAATTTTACAAGGATATATTAAAATAATTATATAAAAAAAGTAAATTTCTTTACTGTTTGAATAAAAACAATTTTATATATAAAAATTTAGATTATTTTTAACCTTAAATTGTATTAAGTAGACTTGATTTAGTTGAAAATTAAATAAAGTAAGCTTATTCCTAACATTAGAATATAAAATAAGATAAAATTAATATAAAACTAATGGAAATAAAAGACATAAAAATATAAAAAGTTGTAAATAAATTACAAGTACCAAGAAGTAGTGTACATTTTATTGAAAATTATAATTCGAATAATAAGTAATTTATAAAATATATATATATATATTTAGTATAAATTTAATCTATATATATATATATATATATATATATATATATATATATTAAACATTTAGAAAATAAAATGAAAATATAGATTATTATAGCCTTAAATTGTTATAAGAATGCACGATTTAAGGAAACTCTTTTTTAAACTAATATTATAAAGATTATTTTAATAAAGGACTTTTAAATATAATAAATTAATGTACTATAATATGAAAAAAAATCTCATTATTATATTTATATATAGTTTCTTTTCTTTTTTTATGGAACTTTTTTATTATTACTAATATAATATATTCAGCTTATTTATTAATTCATATATTTCTCTCTTAATATTTATATAAATTTTTAATATTTATTAGTTATTATTATTTATCTTCTATATATACACTATATTCTTTAATTAATTATACAAAAAGTTTACTAATTATTATAGTTATTTAGAATATATTAAATTTTTATAAAATCAAAAATTTAATATTAAAAGGGAAAAATATTATAACACTAAAAAAAAGCTTAAAAAATATAAAAAGTAATATATATATATATATTAAATATTTTGCAAATTAATTATGTTATTCAAACATAAATTAATAAATTCAGGTTTATTTAACTACCTATAAATCATAATAAAACAGATTATATAAAAAATATACTTAAAAATCAATAAGATAATAATAATAAAGATTATTAATATATTCTCTATGAAAATAAAAATAAAGTTAATATATACAAATGAATTATAAATATTTTTTTTTATTATTTTATAAAATATATGATAGTTATAATATTAATTATTTTAAGTATATCATATCAAAAATTAAAAACAAAACAAAAGAATATATTAATTAAAAAATAATTAAAATTGATGGATTATGTAGTTCTAAAAAATTTTAAAATGAATTCAAAATTATTTAAATAATATTTTTGTTGATATAAATATATTTAGTATTTATATATTTAATAAATTTTTTATTTTTTATTTAAGAAATTTTATATAATAAATATTTTTTGAAAAAATATGAATAAATACATATATATATAAAAAAAAAAAAATACTATATATATAATATATATATATATATATATATATATATATATATATTATATATATATATATTATATAAAAATTGTAATTATATAAACATAATAATTAAAAGAAAAAATTAAATATATTTTTCTAGGTTTTTTCATTAAATTTAATTTTATTCTTCTAAAAACCACAAAAATTTTTATATATCATTTTTATCAATTTATAAATTAGCTGCAGATTTTATTATTAAATACCATAAAACTTCATTTTCTTAACCAATATTATAATTTTAAGAATTTAAAAGACAAATAACATCACATGGATCATTTTAAGTTAAAATCTAATCTTCAAAATATAAAATATAAGTGACTACAAATTTATAAAAAAAAAAAATTCCTTATTAAAATAATTAATCAAAAAATCCAGTCTAAATTTTTTTTTAAAAAATAAATATTAATATAAATTATTAAATATAAAATTATTATTTTAAAATATAAAAATATTTATATATATAGATATATATATAGAAATATATATATATATATATTATATATATTATGTATATTCCTATATATATATTTTATTTATACACATACATTTATATATATTTACGCATTAAAATAAAGGTATCATTATTCCACATAAAGAAAATATCCATGATTAGCATATATCTTCTATATTAATTTAATTTTCAACAAAAACTTAATGTAAAATCGGTATTTTTTACCACATAATAACATTAATAATTTACATATGTTTTCCTAATCCTGGAAATTCCGGTAAAAATACATCTCTTATTTCCAATTTTTCGAACAGTAAGCAAACTAACCAAAAAGCGATATATTCTTCTGCATGAAAAACCATAATAGCTGCAATATAATTCATACCTTAGCAATATCCTATATATAAATATATATTTTTATAAATAATTATATATATAATTATATAATACCTATTTATATATCATATACAGACAATGCATATAAGACATTTTTTAATTATTATTATAAATATGAATTATTTACAAATAAACCAGAATTAGTAAATGTTCTTTAAACGTCTTTTTCTATTTAATTTTTATAATTTTCTTATAATTCTTTGAAATTGAGTAAGTTTTCATATATAGATTTCATTTTTTATAAATCGTAGTCATGCCAATTTTATTAAAGCCATTTAAATGCAATACTACAAGTTTCGTTTTTTCCTAAATTGATTTCACACTGGCATTTTATACGATTTTTTATAGTTTTGTTGTATGCTTTTTTAGTTTTGTTTAATAATGAATTTATCTCTTCTAATATATCTCTTTTCACTTAAATGTCTTTATAACTAATTAATTTCTAACTTTATTATATTTATAATTTCTAAATAATATTCAGGTCCCATAAGTAATTGTTTCCATTGCTACTATCGATACTAATTCGCTATTTAATTGACTAATTTAGACGATGTTTTATTGGACTTTTTGGAATTTCCTTTGCATATGTCTTTATAGTCTCTTATAAAACTTCAGATTCGTCAACAAATAAATTCTTTTTGAGGGGATTTTAATGAGAAACTGATGTGGAATTCTTAAAACTTTCCTTTATACCTGATAAAGATAAAACACTAGTTAATTACGATATGTCTTATTTCGGTTATAAAACTTATATTTATCCATTTATATACATTTTTTTAATATTAATTGAAAAAATAAAAATTATTTTTATAAAATTTAAATAATAAAAATTAAATATTTTTTTTTTAGAAGAATAAAAATTATTTGTTATTTATATAATGATGTTAATATTTTTATAATATAAGAATAAGGATTATATAAAAAAAAATAATATTATTTAATATAAAATAAATAATAATTAAAAAAGTTGATAATAAAAATAAATAATTTATAAATATTTTATAAAATATTTTAAATTTTTATTTATTGTATAATTTATTTTAAAAAAATTAAATAAAAAAAATAAATATATTTTTTAAACATTATAAATGATATATCAGTTTTATAAAAAAAATATATATAGATTAAATTAATAAAAATTTATAAAATAAAATATATAAATAAAAATAAAAATAAAAAAATAAATAAATAAAAATATATATACATTTATATAATATTATTTTTATATATATGATTTTATTAATATATATTATTATATATAATTATTTATTTATTTTAATATTTCTATATTAATATATATTTATATATATATATATATAAATATTTATAAGAATATTTTATATATATATATATATATTAATAAATATATATTATTATTTATTTAAGTATTTTATTTATTTTCTTATATATTTATAAAAAAACATTTTAAAAAAATATTTAATATATAAGCTATAAATTATTTTATCTTATTAAATATTTTTATCAATTAAATTATATCTAAAATTATATATTTTTTTATTTTTTTATTTTTATATTTTTATTTTTAGCATCACTTTTATATATATTTATTTTAAATATATATTATTTTATCTTTAATTTTTTATCTATAAGTAATACACATTTTTTTTTCTTTTGAATTTATATATAATTTTTTTTTAAATAATTTTGTTTTTAATATTATACTTTTATTTTAAAAAAAAATTATTTTCTTATTTTATAATATATTTAATTATTATAATCTAATATTTTATTTTTATTATTATTTATTTTAATATAAATAAAATATTTTTTTTAATAATAATAAATAATATAATATTTCTTTTTTTTAATCTTTATTTTATTCTTTAATTTAACATTTATTATTTTATATATTTTTGTATATCTTTAAAGAATCATTTTTTTTTTTACAATTAATTTACATGAAAATATTCTATAAATATTTATATTTTATTTTTTTTACTTTATTTAATATTAAAATATATAAGAAAATCTATATTTTTTATTTTATTTATATAAATTATTAAAATAAAAATAATTTTCTTAATTATTAATATATAATTAAAATATATATATTTAATTTTATTAATCTTTTTTTTTTTTTTCCTTATATTTTAGTTTTCAAATAACTATTTATTAATTTTTCTTCTTTTTTTTTTTTTTTCTTCTCAAAATTCAACATTTTAATTCTTCTTAAAGTATTTGTTTTTTTTTTCTTTTCTTTAATTCTTTTGATTTCTTATAAACAAACAATAATAATTTCTTCCTAAAACCAAAACTTTTATCTATATAATTTAAATAACTTATTTATATAACACTATATATGTTTTTTACTTTAAAAATTTTACTTTTTTTTCGAAATAAAAAAGTAGCCTTATTATCAATTTTTTTTATTTTCAATCATTTTAAAGTTATTAATTAGAAATTACTTATCCGCAGAAAGCTTGCTTAAGGAGAACCCAAGATCTAGTTTTTTATATTTTATGTATTCAATTAGAACTTCATACCATTCTATATTAGTTTTTTTTTTATTTTTCTATAATAAGATTTCTTCCTCTAGGAGACAAATCAGATTTCTTTGAGGGGACAAGTACTTACTCTGGTATATAAGTAAACAATATTCAGCAATAGAGCTTAATTTATATAAAAAAATACTATTTATTATCACTGATAAATAGAGAAAGTTTCCCCAAAATATATAATTAACATCTTTAATAGGGACACTTATAAATTCGATTAATAAAAATTTATATTTTAATTTATAAATTTTAAATTTATATTTTTCTACTTTTTTTATATTTATTTCTTTATATATAAAATATATAGTAAATAAAAGAAAATATAATTTTATTTAATTTAACCAAAAAATCTAGATTTTTTAGATTAAATTTATATTTTTAATTAATATATATATAAATTTAACAATTAATTTTAATTTTTATAAAAAATAAGCAATTTAAATGTATTTTATTAATAATTATATTATTCTTATTTTTCAAAACGTAAATAACTTATAATAAATAAATGAAATCATTTTAATGGCTTTTT